AGGTGCGACCCGCTGTTAAGCGCCCATTCTCCTCCCCCACCTCCACCACCTGTCTGCCAGAGAAAAATCACCCCCCCCCCCTTTTCCACTGTGTTCAGGGTTGAAACAACATCCAAGTCAGTGCGTCAAACTATCGAGCTACAGATCAAACTCGTCTATATTGTAGTGTCAGCTTTAGCATAGCCTCTTATAATCTAAGACTCGTGGGTGGTTTAGATCAAGATCCTCCACAGGGCGATCGCTCACCTATCCCCTAGCCACCCATACTGGATCTGGAGGAGCACAAATCGATTGTAAACCCCAGGGTATCAGCAATGTATACACACGCTGTAGTTGGAAGAGAACCAGGACTTGGCTGAACAAACATGGTGCTAGCACAGACCGTGTTTTGCTTTCTACTGCAATGAAAGGGATTTTACAGGCTTCATAGAATTACATACATTATGATCAGAAAAGAGGCTCGAGCTGTTATCATGTTAGACTTCTGTTTGGGAAAATTGGGTTCAAATCTTCGATAAGCTAACTGAAATTTGTTCCATCAGAGAGAAAAATTAAATTTGTAAATTGAGCGTACGTGGGTGTGTGGATGTCACCTCGGGGAGGGGGGGGGGGGGGGGTGGGGGGTCTATCCAAAATGTTTGATCCCCGAAATCAGATAATCATCTGGATGGCAGATTAACAGAACCTGAAGGTTTGACACTAGAGACTAAAGTCTATCAGTGTTAGCGGCAGACCAACAGGACCTGAAGGTTTGACACTAAAGTCTATCAGTGCTAGTGGCAGATCTACAGGACCTGAAGGTTTGACACTAGAGACTAAAGTCTATCAGTGCTAGTGGCAGATCTACAGGACCTGAAGGTTTGACACTATGAGACCAAAGTCTATCATTGTTGGCGGCAGTCTGACAGTACATGAAGGTTTGACACCATGAGACTAAAGTCTATCAGTGCTAGCGGCTGACCTACAGGACCTGAAGGTTTGACACTGTGAGACTAAAGTCTATCAGTGCTAGTTTCAGACCTACAGGACCTGAAGGTTTGACACTGTGAGACTAAAGTCTTTCTGTGCTAGTGGCAGACGAACAGTACCTGAAGGTATGACACTACGAAAGTAAAGACTCTCAGTGCTGGCGGCAATCCTACAGGGCAAGTTTACATACCCGATTCAATCTCCAAAAAATTCATAACCGATTGTTTCCATCCCTACCACTGTTTGCTCTAACCTCTTCTGTCACAATAAGTTGAAATTAGGATTTTAAGAAAACGTCTACGGGAGCTAACCAAAACAGAACGGGACTTATATAGGTAAACTATACTACGTTTCAAAACTCATGCTGTCGCTCAAATATTCATTTACCTAAGTTACTGTAAGCATGTTGATTTTTTTGCTTTCAATCGCATCTGTTTTTATTTTTTTTATTTTTTAAATACCGCTTTAAGAAAACAGCTTTACCTGTGCAATTGTAGACTATAAATTATAAGAACATGGGAAATCTAAAGCCCTAAGCAAACATTCGTGTTTATGCATATTAGAGTATTCGAGATATTTGTTAAAGTGTGACAGCATGAGTTAACTAATATAAGTTAATAAGGTAACTATAGTTATAATTGGTATACCAAGGGTGGGCAAGTTATAGCACGCGGGCAAACACTGGCCCGTCAAGCAATTTTTACTGACCCACGAGGCTTGCGTAAAATTAGCATAGAATCTGGCCCTTAAATTTACACAATAGCACAACATAAAAACTTACCTTCGCACGCGGAAAGGAAAACCAATTCAAGATAACAACATCCAAAAATGTGATAACCTAAACAGTGATAACCTAAGCATTGATAACCTAAACAGTGATAACCTAAACAGTGATAACCTAAACAGTGATAACCTAAACAGTGATAATCTAAACAGTGATAACCTAAACAGTGATAACCTAAACAGTGATAACCTAAACAGTGATAACCTAAATAGTGATAACCTAAACAGTGATAATCTAAACAGTGATAACCTAAACAGTGATAACCTAAATAGTGATAACCTAAACAGTGATAATCTAAACAGTGATAACCTAAACAGTGATAACCTAAATAGTGATAACCTAAACAGTGATAATCTAAACAGTGATAACCTAAACAGTGATAACCTAAACAGTGATAACCTAAACAGTGATAACCTAAACAGTGATAACCTAAACAGTGATAACCTAAACAGTGATAATCTAAACAGTGATAACATAAGCAGTGATAACCTAAGCAGTGATAACCTAAACAGTGATAACCTAAATATCGATAACCTAAACAGTGATAACCTAAATAGTGATAACCTAAATATCGATAACCTAAACAGTGATAACCTAAATAGTGATAACCTAAACTGTGATAACCTAAATAGTGATAACCTAAACAGTGATAACCTAAATAGTGATAACCTAAATATCGATAACCTAAACAGTGATAACCTAAATAGTGATAACCTAAACTGTGATAACCTAAACAGTGTAACCTAAATATCGATAACCTAAATAGTGATAACCTAAATAGTGATAACCTAAACAGTGATAACCTAAACAGTGATAACCTAAATAGTGATAACCTAAACTGTGATAACCTAAATATCGATAACCTAAACAGTGATAACCTAAATAGTGATAACCTAAACTGTGATAACCTAAACAGTGTAACCTAAATATCGATAACCTAAATAGTGATAACCTAAACTGTGATAACCTAAATAGTGATAACCTAAACTGTGATAACCTAAACAGTGATAACCTAAATATCGATAACCTAAATAGTGATAACCTAAACTGTGATAACCTAAATAGTGATAACCTAAACAGTGATAACCTAAACTGTGATAACCTAAATAGTGATAACCTAAACAGTGATAACCTAAACTGTGATAACCTAAATAGTGATAACCTAAACAGTGATAACCTAAATAGTGATAACCTAAACTGTGATAACCTAAATAGTGATAACCTAAATATCGATAACCTAAACTGTGATAACCTAAACAGTGATAACCTAAATATCGATAACCTAAATAGTGATAACCTAAACTGTGATAACCTAAATAGTGATAACCTAAACAGTGATAACCTAAACTGTGATAACCTAAATAGTGATAAACTAAACAGTGATAACCTAAATAGTGATAACCTAAACTGTGACAACCTAAATAGTGATAACCTAAACAGTGATAACCTAAACAGTGATAACCTAAACAGTGATAACCTAAACATTGATAACCAGAAACTGACGTCGTCAAATCTGTGATCCTGCTTGTGACACCTGTCTTGCGGACAAACTCAGACAGTTTCAAGGATGTCTGTGTGTTAGGTTTGTTACGGATTATTTTCTATATGGACCTCGACTATTTTGATAATTCTAAATTTGGGCCGCCGACCCCAAAAGAATTCCCACCCCTGGGCTAGATGCTCGCCTAGGGGCCCGAAAGTTTGGGATTTAAGTCCACCTCATGGCAGAATTGTTTCTCTTCATACTGACCCGGGCTAGCAGACTGGCAAAGCCTTGTACTGGTACCAGGCGTCAGGAGGCTTTAAGGCGACAGGCCAACTGTTGGCCACATCGCAGAAGAGTACCGACCATTCATAATAAAATATGAGTCTACCGTTGTATGTCTGATGCCCCAGGAGCGTGAGAAAGGTTCCTTTAGTTTCTACCTCTCTTTCTATTTTCCTATTCGCACCTCACGTGTGAAAAGGGCATTTTAAATTTTATTTTCTAATTGCATACAAAAAAGCGAATTAATTTATACGGCACTGATCTTAAACAGTCTAACAGCCAGTCGATAAGTCAATCAATGAATCGATCATTCAAGCAAATAGCACACACAAGACCTTAGTAAATTGATTTGTCTGGGCAAAGGGTGCTTTGTCATTTAGAAGCTTTGCATGGTTCATTTTTCTCCACTCGTTCTTTACAAGCAAGGTAGAAGACGATGAACTGTTACCATAAACAGTCTCACTGAAAAACTTAGTAGATAATACTGTTCATAACCTTTGAAGGTAGACAGTGAGCTGCTTAACAAGTAGTTGTCTTCCAGAACTGGTATTTGGATGAGTGATGTGTTTAAAATCACATCTGTTATCCTTGCCACCTTGTTCTCTGCCCTTTCGGCTATCAACTCCGGTGCAAACATCTGGTTCGTTTATTCCAGAACTGTAGTGGTTTTTATGGATAGAGTGTTGTGTCTATATCTGTTTTAGAGGGATAGAGTGTAGTGTCTATATCGGTTTTAGAGGGATAGAGTGTTGTGTCTATATCGGTTTTAGAGGGATAGAGTGTTGTGTCTGTATCGGTTTTAGAGGGATAGAGTGTTGTGTCTGTATCGGTTTTAGAGGGATAGAGTGTTGTGTCTGTATCGGTTTTAGCGGGATAGAGTGTTGTGTCTGTATCGGTTTTAGAGGGATAGAGTGTTGTGTCTATATCTGTTTTAGAGGGATAGAGTGTTGTGTCTATATCGGTTTTAGAGGGATAGAGTGTTGTGTCTATATCTGTTTTAGAGGGATAGAGTGTTGTGTCTATATCTGTTTTAGAGGGATAGAGTGTTGTGTCTATATCTGTTTTAGAGGGATAGATTGTTGTGTCTATATCTGTTTTAGAGATCTAGCTTACTGGAGGCACACTGTCGGTCCCTCGATTTCAGTCAGATACGCCCCAACGTTGAGGGCAGCGTTGATAACTTCTATGCTGTCAAGGCCCTTGCTATGGACTCTAGGATGACCACATAGAGTGCTAGACCACATAGAGTGCTAGACCACATAGAGTGCTAGACCACATAGAGTTCTAGACCACATAGAGTGCTAGACCACATAGAGTCATTGACCACATAGAGTGCTAGACCACATAAAGTGCTAGACCACATAGTGCTAGACCACATAGAGTGATAGACCACATAGAGTGCTAGACCACATAGAGTCCTTGACCACATAGAGTGCTAGACCACATAAAGTGCTAGACCACATAGTGCTAGACCACATAGAGTGCTTGACCACATAGAGTGCTAGACCACATAGAGTGCTAGACGACATAGAGTTCTAGACCACATAGAGTGCTAGACCACATAGAGTCCTAGACGACATAGAGTGCTAGACCACATAGAGTGCTAGACTACATAGTGCTAGACCACATAGAGTGCTAGACCACATAGAGTCCTAGACCACATAGAGTGCTAGACCACATAGAGTCCTAGACCACATAGAGTGCTAGACCACATAGAGTGCTAGACCACATAGAGTGCTAGACCACATAGAGTGCTAGACCACATAGAGTGCTAGACCACATAGAGTGCTAGACCACATAGAGTGCTAGACCACATAGAGTGCTAGACCACATAGAGTGCTAGACCACATAGAGTGCTAGACCACATAGAGTGCTAGACCACATAGAGTGCTAGACTACATAGAATGCTAGACCACATAGAGTCCTAGACCACATAGAGTGCTAGACCACATAGAGTGCTAATCTGAATCCCCGTAATTATTGTCGGGGGTTAACATCTAAATCTTAGTCATTACTGCAGGGGATTGGAATCTGGATCCCAGTAATTATTGTCAGGGATTTGAATCTGTATTCTAGTAATTACTGTGGGGATTAAAATAATGAGGCAGAAATTGAAACATAAAAGACGTAACTGCTAGTTGTACGATGTTTTTGGGAGGAAAAGGGACGGGGTGGCAATAAAGTTTCCAATTGAGAAGAGGAAAAACGTGCAAGAAGCAGACGTCAGACGTGTTGACACTTTCACAAGATATCAACTGGTTAAACGTGTTGACACTATCACAAGACATCGACTGGTTAAACGTGTTGACACTATCACAAGACATCGACTGGTTAAACGTGTTGACACTATCACAAGACATCGACTGGTTAAACGTGTTGACACTATCACAAGACATCGACTGGTTAAACGTGTCTACACTATCACAAGACGTCGACTGGTTAAACGTGTCTACACTATCACAAGACGTCGACTGGTTAAACGTGTTGACACTATCACAAGACATCGACTGGTTAAACGTGTTGACACTATCACAAGACGTCGACTGGTTAAACGTGTTGACACTATCACAAGACGTCGACTGGTTAAACGTGTTGACACTATCACAAGACATCGACTGGTTAAACGTGTTGACACTATCACAAGACGTCGACTGGTTAAACGTGTTGACACTATCACAAGACGTCGACTGGTTAAACGTGTTGACACTATCACAAGACATCGACTGGTTAAACGTGTCGACACTATCACAAGACATCGACTGGTTAAACGTGTCTAGACTATCACAAGACATCGACTGGTTAAACGTGTTGACACTATCACAAGACATCGACTGGTTAAACGTGTCTACACTATCACAAGACGTCGACTGGTTAAACGTGTCTACACTATCACAAGACGTCGACTGGTTAAACGTGTCTACACTATCACAAGACGTCGACTGGTTAAACGTGTCTACACTATCACAAGACATCAACTGGTTAAACGTGTCTACACTATCACAAGATATCAACTGGTTAAACGTGTCTACACTATCACAAGACATCAACTGGTTAAACGTGTCTACACTATCACAAGACATCGACAGGTTAAACGTGTCTACACTATCCCAAGATATCGACATGTTAAACGTGTCTACACTATGACAAGACATCAACTGGTTAAACGTGTTGACACTATCACAAGACATCGACTGGTTAAACGTGTTCATCGACTGGTTAAACGTGCTGACACTACCACCAGACATCGACGTGTATGTGTTGACACTATCATCAGACATCGACGTATATGTGTTGACACTATCACCAGACATCGACGTGTATGTGTTGACACTATCACCAGACATCGACGTGTATGTGTTGACACTATCACCAGACATCGACGTGTATGTGTTGACACTATCACCAGACATCGACGTGTATGTGTTGACACTACCACCAGACATCGACGTGTATGTGTTGTCACTATCACCAGACATCGACGTGTATGTGTTGTCACTATCACCAGACATCGACGTGTATGTGTTGACACTACCACCAGACATCGACGTGTATGTGTTGTCACTATCACCAGACATCGACGTGTATGTGTTGACACTATCACCAGACATCGACGTGTATGTGTTGACACTATCACCAGACATCGACGTGTATGTGTTGACACTACCACCAGACATCGATGTGTATGTGTTGACACTACCACCAGACATCGACGTGTATGTGTTGTCACTATCACCAGACATCGACGTGTATGTGTTGACACTATCACAAGACATCGATGTGTATGTGTTGTCACTATCACCAGACATCGATGTGTATGTGTTGTCACTATCACCAGACATCGACGTGTATGTGTTGACACTATCACCAGACATCGACGTGTATGTGTTGACACTACCACCAGACATCGACGTGTATGTGTTGACACTATCATCAGACATCGACGTATATGTGTTGACACTATCACCAGACATCGACGTGT